CCTTGCCTTTAACTTCATCGGGCATGTGTGTGGTATGGGAGATACACGAGGTAACGTTGGAAACATCGCTTGTGCCTGCGTTGGAGAAACTTGTCGACATGCTCCCTTTCTCAGCGTACCCCGGAGATTGGTACGGAGGCCACGGGAGGCCGCCAACAATAACTCCGTTGCTGCTCTAGAAAATGATCCGCGGCAACACCCAGTCCGCGCGACCTTTGACACAGTGCCAAGCATGAACGCTTGCTTCGGGGACGGACTGAATAATGGGTGTATTCTGCTTTCGGGTTATAGAGAAACTTTACCCTTCTGTCACGCGAACGTTGCTGTCTGTTTGTTGTCATTGTGAGGGGTGATGTATGGAGGTTAATGAAAATTTGTCAAAGAATCTGTCAATCCCAGGTCGCTGCGTCGGTCGTTGAATTGACCGTTGGGGTCTGCATAATATCGAGGCTCATAATATTGCCGCGAAACTAACAGATTAGCTGGGAAATATCGGGCAGTACGGTATCCCAGATGAAAACCTGTGCTCGACGGTGGCGAAATATATCGAAAATTTCCTCGACTCGAAACTGACGTGTACTATCTGCATGTGCCACTTTTAACTGATCTGCCACGTTGGTTCATCTCTAGTCTATGCACTTTAGACATCAAGAGCGAAAAGTGCACCTACCTGCAGGACGGGCAGTTGGCAATTGTTTGTTACATACGATTGTTCTACTGCAGCAGAGAAAAAGCCACCGTTCGCCACCTGGCAATTATTCACGCCAGTGCTGAAGTCTTGCAGGAAACACAGAGGCAACTTACATGCCACGGCGCCGTGTCACGATATAGACAGACCTCCCAATGCCCTTGTTGTTGCCCGAACCACGCTGCTAGAGTTCTCGAGAATAAACACTAGCCCTTCATCCTCGACGGTGGTGGGATTCCCCTTGACCAACTCTAACCACAGTTGTCACAACACCCGCCAACAGGCTTCGAAAGCGCCTGACAGTCATCAGCCCAGCACACAAAAAACATGAGCACCATTTTCAGCTTTCACGTTCGCCTTCAAATGGCTTCTCACCATGCACGGATCATGGATATAATGGGGCCAACTCGCAACCAAGCACACTCGATGCTTCCCGCGCAGCTCCAAGAGCAAAGCACCATTAACGAACAATTCAGCATCCCGAGCCTTACAGTCCCCTTAATTCCCTCGCTTTCAATCACACATCAAACTGTCCTGTCGTAACGGATCGAAGGCAAGGGCGCAATTCCTCAACGAAGTGTCCAGGCTTGCACGGGCAGCGTCTACCGCCGTGCGGGCGGGCCCGAAGCAACCAGCTGCCGCAATATCCCTAAACCCCGCTCTGGCAGCATCAACGAGCGCCTTCGAAGAGGCCATGACAGCGCGAAAGGCAGCGGCGTCGGCGTCGGCTTGTTTCGTGTGGACGACGGTTCTCGCGGTTTGCTCGGCCAGCGTATTGCGCCGTGCGGTGGCCCCTGGCGACTGGTCACAGCCGGAGCAAATCCAGCTGCCCGCGGGCACGACTTTTAGGTTCACGCAGGCGGCATGGAACCCTGTCGTTAAACGTTGTTTCGGGGAGAAAGGAAACAAATAGAAAAATGCGGAGGCGAAGTGGAGGTCAGCACCAAGTATACCACCAAATCCATACTGCCGATCGACCAACAATTCTTGCAATATAGCTACAGTCGGCAACCTGGCCTACGGCAATGGGGCTACGGGTGACAGTAGCAGTCGTCTGTGACTGGCTGGTTTCGAAACCCAACCTCCACCTTGACTGTAAGCCGAACCTGACCCACGGACGTGAGCAGCCAAGGAACGGTTTTGGTAATGTATGCATGTTGATGTACTTATTTATTGATATTGTACATCCCACAAATACGACCCGAAGGGGCACACGTGAGTCCTGACAAGTGCTGACGATCCACATACCCTTGCCGCATGCGCCGTCACAGTAGACCAGTACGCCTTCCTGGTGGCAGTTGTGGCAACGCTGTCAAAAGGTACACGTAACCAAGACATCAGGTTGTAGGAATTGAGCGCGACATTGTGATGCTGTGGGCTTCATGTGCAACAAGCTTTGCGTGGATTGTATGCCAAACGCTAAACGTGTATCTGGCCCATAGCGCGGTACGATTATTCCAGCGTGTATTCATCTTGGGGCAAGCGGAGAGCACAACTTGTCTTGAATGTGCTGCATGCATGTCGAACACCCCTGCTTCATACTTACCTCAAGTCTGTCGCGCCTGTGGGTGTCATGTTGTCCGGGGGACAACAAGGGGGCGCCCCAAATTCAACAGGCAGGTATAGAACGTGCCAAGACGCAATCAGACCGGTGACAAAGAGACGGGACGGCCACAGGAGGGGGGCGAACCACAAGGATTACGGGCGGATATCTAATATCGAGTATGCAGGAGCAACCGTCCGCCGGGTGGCGGCCCATTTGGCCTACTGTAGATGCGACGATCGATTTTGTCCAATCTCGTACAGAGCAAAGAGAGGAGATTTCGCACTTTTCTAAGCAGACGGGATTCGAAAATTTGAAACAGAACAATGAAGGCGTACCATCTTCGTCTGTGGGATAGTGTTCAGAACGCCGGGATTGGATGAGATGACACGGATTACACAGAAAGGCACAACCGTCGCCTTTTCAAGATGAAACGCCGCAATAATCTACGGCCACAATTCAAGAAACTTTGTATAACAGGCCCCGGACTCCGGAGTCCCGTCTTGTCTCCTGGCGATAACCGGTGTTTCTTGTTACTCTCCACCTGACTATTTAGGTTTTGGGCGGCGGTGATCGAGCGCAGGAAGGCATAGCTCAAACCTTCCCAAACCCTTCCCCGCCACCACCATCGACTTTGAATATTGCGACGGTTCCTCAGTTTGCTCACCTCGCAGTCTCCACCACTTTGCCGTACTTGTTCGAGCCTTTGAGCTCTAGATACGCCGGATCGATCTTCCACCCACTGTAGTAGTGGGTGCTGCACTCCCCAGCAGTGCGCGTGATAGACTGAGAGTCGAAGCGGCATTGGCGTACGGGTAGAACGGGGAGGTTTAACGTGCGGTGGGTTTAGTGAACGCTGGCAGAAATGCACCATGCGCGTCGTCATGCTAGTTTAACCGTTCACTGCATGCTCCGAAGATTCGGCCCAGCCATCGGTGTTTGTGCACAACAACTTCCCGTTAGTGGTAGTACTTGCATATTTCATGGAAGCATCCGCAAGTGATGGGAACCCCCTCCATTTATTCAAGCTTGTTTCGGTTAGCCTGTTCCGCAGAACATCGTTTCTGACCGCTTGGGTTCCTACACTTGGAATCATCTTAGTTGCAGAGTCGGGACCGCGTTGGTTAGCAAACTTCAACATTATCTATAGCATGGTTCTTGCGCGGGAAATTGACCAATTTCCCCGCAGAAGACCCCACTCAACCCTTAATTGATGTATCTATCGCCCGTACCTGCTGCCGCAATGACTCCGAAATTGCCGAAAAGTCTTTCTGGCCATTGGAGACCATCGCGCTTGAGAACAGCATTTTCTCGGCCTTACACCATGGATGCACAGTTGACGTCCCTTCCGATACCAGGCCGCGAAGTTGTCTTTGGGCGGACCTGAAACGCTCGCACACTGTCGTTCCTGATCCCCGTGTCCGGTAAAGAAGTTCCAGACACTGGTCGGAGGTCGGGTGAAGCGAACCCAAACACGACCATAATGTGGATTGGTTGGAATAGCGTTGAGTGGGGGGGGTGATGACGCCGAGAGAAGGGGTGTGGCTTTAACTACCCTAAAGTCCTGGGGTAGCTGCTCTGGTCCAGGAAAACACTCGAAGCACGATAGACTATAGCCTAGACTATGCATATGAGACATGTGGGGGGGCGTTCGTGGTATCAGACATTTCACAGTTTCGGACTGGGGCTCCATATTTGCTGAGATAAGGAAACAGATTTTGAGATGAGAAAGTTTCCTGGAAACTTCCTGCAGGCGAATATTTTTCGATTTAAGGCGGCTTCATGTGATTGGCTGTGGGACGACAGTCACCCAACCAACTTCCCCTGTTCGCAGGTACTGCTGTTTTTTGTGGTGCGCTGCGTGACAGCTGCACCCTGATCACAGCGCTCCCACTGCTGTTGAATGTGCGTGCATGCGTGCCTGTGTTGCCCCCTTAACCCCAGCACACGAACCCGCGCCAGAAGTTCGACAGGAAGTACACATAATGCCCGGCAGCCCTGTACGAAGTGCTGTGTATCGCATTTCAAGCGTTGGAGAGAGGGTGATTTTTTTGGGGCGGGGGCACATCGAAGTCAAACACGCTCTCTCAAGTAGAAGCAGAGAATACTCTTTCTTGCGGCGCGTCACCAGAAGGCAACAGCAGCGTGCTCTTCCTCCTCTCTGCCCTTTGCTGGCGGTGCTGCCACCTCCTCTACGTCGTCGGTTGCTGCGGTTCGTTCCGGCGCTCTTTCTCCCCCTTGCCTCAACCTCTGTGTGTGACGGGCGCGTGTTGCTGACCTAAAGCCGCGCAACAACCAACCCCAACTTGGTTTTCTGACCTTGCAGCCTCCCCCTTTCTGTGTTGGTGGCGCGCCAACTCCAGGGCATTTGCGCTGGGCGCTGGGTTTTATGTGGGCAGCCGCTGGACATGCTCTTGCAGACTGTGTGTGTGCGTGTGGGTGGCGCCTGATGATGTGTTGTGTGTGGTGCCTGATGTGTTATTTCAAAGAAAGCTGCTAAATCGAAAAGTTGGCAAAATTTTCCACAAAACCAGCCTCCCTCCGCTGTTAAATCTGATTATTTTTCCCTTATCTTGGGTTCTGGCGAGACTGTCAGGAACGATCCTCAGAACGATGGCTTAACTCAAAATATATTTCCTTATTTCAGTTTTTTTTTGGTTCCGAAACTGTCAATTATCAAAAACAAATTCTCAAACAGGGACCAAAACCGAAAGCGCCGACAGAACTGAGTTCGCCCGATGCCCGCATCGTTCTGATCGGTCTTAATTACTACAGTATACCCCCCTTCACTGCCCGTGTTTCTCCTACCCGGTCTGCTGGGATCCGGCCCTTGAAGTGGTCGACCAGGCAGGAGGCGAACATGGTTAACATTTCTTTTTCCTGCGGGAGGAAAGAGAAATGGAGCGCGATCAACATTTCACTTCTTCGCGGAGAGCAATGCCGTGTTTAGTGTCGTTGCCGTCATTTCGTATGTGTATTGCCAATGGGCGCTTCTTTCCCGCTCCCCACGCGCGCGCCAGGCCTCGGCCTGGCCCGTACCTTTTTCTCTTGTTTGGAATGTTCCCCGGCTGCTGTGGGCTTGACGGCAGCCCAAATCTGCGTGCAGGGAGCCGCCTCCGCTGCAGATGACGCCGGTGTCGAGGCTGCCTCACGCCGAGACCCTGGCATGGTCTCACGCTCCGGTATGGTCGCCTGCGAAGAGGAAGGGAGAAGTACGGCTCACCATCCACATGCTCGTCGTCAGCGTTTTAGGTAGACTCGGTGTGGTACGAAACTACTCTGCATCTTGTAAACGTAGGAGCTTGCAACTCGCTCGGCGGCCGCAGTGTGAACGAAAGCGGACGTAGCGGTGATGCCGTGAAACATGGTGGTTTCTTTTCTCAGCCTCCGGAGAGCTATAACAAACAAGGTTCAGCAATGGCGAGGAACCGTGAGCTCTTTACTGTATAGCGTTCATTTACCTCTGCAACCACCGTGAAATCAACCGTGCTACAGTTTGGGCTTGTTCGCACGCGCACGACTTCCTTTCTTGGCTGAAACTCCACGCCTCACCTGGTACGCGCCTCCAAGTCGCCCGGAGTATTCTTCCTCCTTCGTCGGTTTTTGCTTCCCGGGAGGCGGTAGCAGTGTTGGTTTACATGTAGTCGCCGACGGTGTGACGGTCGTCGCCGAGGACACGTGTCAGACAGACGGACAATTTTAAATTGCCGACCTCATAAACACAACGGAGATACTGTACGTGCATAGACATAGGATGCACTACGGGTGTAGCACCGGGCACCACAGAAGCATGGAGACGACAGACAATCGCGAAATGGGCTTTGCTCTGGTACTCGTTCATGACAGCAGCAGTGAGTTTTGCCCAATAGAGATATGATGCCTTGGGTCATAACTCACTCAATGTGGAGAGGTTGCAAACATCGCTACAGGCAGTATTCCCGTCGCTAGCACAGGCGACCAAACAAGAGCCGGCAACCAGTCTGCAACGCCACACTCCTTTGGAGCCCATGTGCTCAAGCTGGACGCTTCGCGCTGTACAGTACTGCGCAGAACTCCTCTCATTGACGATGTCACCTTTTTGTTGGCCTTGCCCGTGCCCTTGCCCCTCCCTCTCGGCCCCGGGGCATCCTCCTCAGCCGCCGTAGGTAATGGGCGCGTGCTGGCGGTAGGGAGGGGTGGGCCGTCGGCGAATTCGCGCGGTGTAGAATGTGCCATAGGTAGCAGACAGTGAATCGTAGAGTGTGGCGCTCAAGGTTGATCGGCATGATGGATGCCGTCACATGCGTTGGCAAGAGCAAGTGGAGCGAAACCAGTGCACCTGGCGAGCAAAAATAGGAGTCATGAGAGGCGATCTTTGGCGCACCTCAAGAAGGCTTCTTCGAACACCTTTTTCCCGGTGGTCGGGTCTATCGGATGCCAGTGCCTCCTCGCCGTCCATCCCGCCACACCGTTGGTGAGGGGGCCGCATGCGGATAAGTTGCATGGCTGTAGCTCACGTCGTTCGTCTCCCCTGCACAAAGGCCGGAAGGGGCGGTGGGAGGAAGTGGCGAGGGGTCACAACTCATATTTCTGGAGTTGTGAGCGAGAACTTACGAGAATTATGTATGTACAGTGAAAGGTAAACTACGCGGGGTGCAGCAAGCACGTTCTGGACGTTACTTGGGGCACTGGGTAGTCGGCCGTGTTAGGCCGAGAGAGAGAGATTGAGAGAGAGTTGGAGAGAGAGTGGGAGAAGGAAACTTGATTGGAGAGAGACGGTGGTGGTGGTGGAGAGAGAGAGGAAGAAGTGAGCGCAGCACGCACGCAAGCTTCATCGCACCAACCACGCCAAAAGGGTCCCCGTGTCCGCACCGATGGTACCCTGCAACACACGAAATTCCCAACACGTATCCCCCTGGGATCCTCACGACCAGATACTGCTGCGAGTATATCTAACATCCCCCCTGCTCGCAACAGTTATTCACTGAAAACTTCGCGAACACTCGATATCTCAACCAAAATACATCTCTCCAAGAATATATGCCATCAATACTCGACCAGAATAACATAAGAGGGAAAAACAATTCAAAGGAACATGAATACTGCATCGCGCGTAACAAATACTTGGCGCGAGAAATGAAAGAAAACGGGAAACAAAACGAGAAACAAAACAAAACCAAAACACAACCAATCAGAAAAACAATAAAATGTTCATGCCAAATTCATTGCAAAATCACGGTGAGACTCGAAAGCGTCCTTCGGCAAGCTCTTCGTGAGAAAATCTGCACGCTGGTACGGAGACGGCACGTGGATCACCGAAATTTCCTTCCTCTCTACCAGTTCCCTGAGAAAATGGTGCCTTACATCTATGTGCTTCGAGTTCGAGTTTGAGATGGGGTTCTGCGCTAGTTGAATCGCCCCCTGGTTGTCCTCGAAGACGGGGATACACGGCATGCCGACCTGCGGCAACATGAAACGCCAAATCTGCCTCAAAAACAAAATCTCCTTCACTATGTCACCAAGCGCGACGTACTCTGCTTCTGTCGTCGAAAGCGTGACGCACTTTTGCGTTCTGGAAAACCAAGACACAGCGCTTCCTCCACACGTCACGATTCCCCCTGATACCGACCTACGGTCTGCTGCCTTGCTTCCAAAGTCCGCATCAGCGTACCCCTGCAAGCTGAATCCTTCTACTGTACCCCTCTGAAACGAAATACCAAAGTGACTCGTCCTCCTCGCATAGCCTAAAATATCCATCGCTGCATTCCAGTGTACCAGCTTCGGAGATGCGCAATACCTAGCTACTGCCCTTACAGCATTCGCAATGTCTGGCCTAGTTTGAGTCGCCAGCCACATCAACGATCCTACCAGCTCACGAAACGGAAAGTCTGTCGCCACCTCATCCGCATCAAAATCAGAAAGCTTCACCCCCGAAGACATCGGAACGCTCTTACCTCCCACTACTCCATATTCTGCTGCTAGCTCGTCCGCGAAAGTCTGCTGAGAAATCGTCAACCTTCCGGTCTCCTTGTTCCTCTCGTAATAGCACCCAGAATACCATCTCAACTCTCCCAGGTTCTTCACTGGCACGGACTTGTTAAGGTCGGCGCCAAACTTATCACATCTCTCCCTCTCTCCCACAGCAAAAATGTCATCTACATGTACTACCAAAATCAAAACAACACATCCATCCTCAATCAAACGAAACACACAAGCATCGGCCATGCACTGCTCAAAACCTAACGCCACTAAACACCTCTTCAGCATTGCATGCCACTGCCTAGATGCCTGTCTCAAGCCATACAGACTCTTGCCTAGTTTTACAATCATTCCAGATAGAGCTCCACATCCCTGTGGCAAACGCATGTACACGTCTTCCTCCAACTCCGAGCGCACAAAAGCTTGCTCAATATCGAAATGACACAAGTCGAGATTTAACTCGCACGCCAACGCAGCCAACATCCTAACACACGAAACAGAAACGGTAGGCGCGTACAGCTCTCCAAAGTCAATGTACTCTCTCTGCATATCACCTCTCGCTACAAGTCTCGACTTCACCTTAGTGGGCCATCCAAATTCATCTGCCTTCCAATCGAATACCCACTTAGCGTTAATTGCGTTCTCCACTAGTTGCTACTTCGCCGGAGTAAAAGTCCCTGCTTCCAACAAGCCGTAAAACTCCCTTTGCATAGAGTCGCTCCAAAGGTGCCGGTGCTCCGACACCATGGCCTCTTTGTAGCTCTTGGGGACACGAAGGTCGCTGGCCTGGCAGTGAGGAAGGTCAGGGCGTTGCTCCGGCGGGCGCTGGTCTCGCAGCGTGGCGTCGATGTCTTCCCGGTTGGCGAGGAGCGTGGCAAATGCGAGTGGAAAGCCCGCTCCTCCAGCCCCCGGGTCCACCGCTGCGAGTGCTCCCGCCTGTTCTCCGGCCCCCGCTCCCCCCGGCTCTCCGGCCTCCGCCCCCCCCAGCTCCCTGCGCTCCTCATCCACCGCGCTCCGAGCCTCCAGCATCGACACCAGAGTGTTCTTGTCTAGCATCGAGATGAGTCCTGTGCTGTGCCTCGTGCCCGATCTCGTTCGGCTTGGCAGCCGCGGGTCTATCATACCCTCGGCCTTTGTACCCGGGCGAAGCTGCCGCATGGCGTGAGCCGTAAGCGGGGGCATCGCGGGGTCCGGCGGCGGCGGCTGGTCTGGATCGAGGGTCGCCAACGGTGACGGCGAAGAGGCAGAAGACGGCTGGCCAGGGGCGGGGGTCGCCGACGGTGGCGGCGAAGTGGCAGAGGGCGGCTGTGAAGGCGTGGGAGCGGACGGCGGCGTGGTCGCTGGCGGCGGCGTTGCGGCAGGTGGCGTTGCGGCAGTCGAAGGCGTCGGTGCTGGGCCAAAGTTGATCGAGACGACCGGCGGCGTGAACGGGGGGGGTGTCGGTGCAGCGGTGATACCAGCGGAACCCCCCTCGCCGGCTGGCGCCGACGTCACCCACGACACGTTGTTGGTGTAGACGACGCGACCGGTGGACGCCTTGAGGACCTTGACGGTGCCGCTCGGGTGGTTGTCGCCGCCGTTCAGGTAGAAGCAGAGGGTGGCCTGGTCGTCGAGCTTGGTGCGGCGATCCTCGCGCATGAAGCCGGGCTGGAAGAACGGCAGCACGCGGAACGGCCCTTGCTCGCCGGTGAACATCTCGTGCGGCGAGCGCCGCCCGGGGTTGGCCTTGGTCGCCGACTGGTTAAGAGCGTCGGCGGCCCACTTCGCCGATTCCATCCAAAGACGGTCACCGCGCTCGTCGAGGCCGGGGATGGAGGCGAAGTCGACGTTGAACACACGGCCAGCGCTGCGGCGGGCGGCCATGCCGGCCTTCATAATCCGCCAGATGGCGCTCTCGACGACGCCGTTGTACTTCGGAGTGCCAGGCGGGGTGAACTCGACGCCGATGCCGTTGTCGTCGCAGAATTGCCGGAAGTCGCCACGGGTCCACCCGGTGCCGTTGTCGACGCGGAAACACTCGATGCGCCCGAGGTCGTACCGCCCCACGTCCGCCAGCAGCCTTTTCGTTGCCGCCAGCGCGTCGGACTTCCGCCGGAGACCGTAGACCTTGTTCCACCGCGAGGCGCTGTCGACGGCGACGAACAGGTAGAGGTTGCCGCCCAGGGAAGGCACCAGCGGTTCACACAAGTCCAGGTGAACACGCCCGAGTGGCTTGGACGCCCGCGCTCCCGGCCCCCGCGGCACCGACCCTCGCCTGCCCTTCGCCTTCATGCAGTCCGCGCACGGTTCCAGCTTGCCGGTGAGCACGATGCCTCTCTGCTGGGCGGTTTCTCTCAAAAGGGGCTCGCAAGCGTGGGCAAGGGAGCGGTGGAAGCGGTTGATGTCAACGGACTTTTCAGTCGAACCAAGAGCAAACGGGGACGCACCAGGGCCAAGCGCGGCCGCACCGAAGTCAAAATCAGCACCCCCATCAATGCTATCCAAAACAGCAGCTACATTCGCAGCATCAGTCTCAGGGATAAACGCGGGGAAAAACTCTTGATACGGGGTGTCATCATAGCCATCCATGAGCTGCTCGTCGGTGAGCACACTCGTGTCTCCAAGATCCATACCCGGAAAAGTACCCACACAAACAAACTCGGACGCCGAAGAAGGTACTACGCCGGCAGAGCCGGCGGGCGGGACGCTCTCACTCGCAGGTACTACACTGGTGGGACCAGTGGGCGTGACGCTATCAGTCGAAGGTACTACGCTGGTGGGACCAGCGGGCGTGACACTCTCACTCGAAGGTACTACGCTAGCAGAGCCAGCGGGAGGGAAACGCAACACGGACACCAATGATTCCGCGGAGCCCCCTTTTTGGGAAGGGGAACGCGTGGAGCCAACGGCGGGGGCGGAATCGGGGGCAGTCACGAATGCAGGCAAAGCAGAAGAGTCTACTATAGTTGCAGATGGGTCGTATGGTAAGCGCATGGCATATGCTGCAGACGCTTTTTCCTCCCTAGGAAATAGCAGTCCATTTTGGAGGGTTGCACCACGCTCGTCGTGCAGGATTTGTTGCTTTCGAGAAACTGCATGCGTTGAAAACAAATTGAAGCTCAGGTTCTCTACTACAGACACGTCAGTCAGCTTAACACACATCGTCGTTTTTTCACCGTTCTCATCCTCCTGAAAGAAACTAAGGTTGATGCTACCGATAGCTTGCACTTCTAGCAGTCGACCATCACCTACGACGACATACTTCCTATTTGCGGGGA